GTTGATGGGAAAAGTATTCTTAAAATGCATTCAAAATTCTGAATAATTTGTAATATATAATTATTCATGGTATTTAGAAGTGCCCACGATAACAATATCGTGCATATTAATTACCGTGATATATCTCATTACCGAATACCGGCACAAGTCTAGTCCTTACCATACTGTGATGCCCTGTCCAGCAAGAGGGTGCTCGCTGCAGAGCCAAATGGGAGGAGCTGGAGCTCTACCTCCCCCTCGCTGGATGTAATGGGTGGAGCTAGACACCCAACCACTGTAGGTATGTGGGGGCGTGTTAGAACGAGCCATTTTAGGTAGGCATTGTTGACTCTTAACTTTTATAAAGAATATCTCTTTGGATTTGAGACTTTAGTCTTTGCAACTTTACAGATCTTCTTTATGCACCAAGAGCTTGTAACACTCCAAAGAGAAAGGAAAAATTGAAATCGCATCATATGACACTTTTAAAGGGATAATTCAACCAAGAATGAAAGAATGTCATCATTTACCCCCTCTTACCCCTTATGTCATTTCAAATGACCTTCTTCCGTCTGCAGAAAGTTTAGCACAATCTCAGAGAAGATCTACTTTTATTGTATGGAAATGCAACAAGACCACTTTGCTAAATATGTCCTTTTGTGTTCCACAGAAAAAAGAAAGTCATAAATATTTAGAGTGGCATGAGGGTGAGTATATGATAACAGACTATTTTTAGGTGAACTATCATTTGGGATGGGATGTTTAGGTTCCAGACTGGAATAATTATGAAAATGAACCATGATTTTTGTTTTTGGTTTTAGCTTTACATAATGTTGTTTGCACTCTTGCCTTGGCATCCATGATGACTCTGGGAATACAGATAGTTGTATCACTGGGTCATGCACAGGTCCGATTGGGTTACAGTAATCTGCAAAACACAGCAGAGAACTGCAGCCACCAGAATGATCAGGTAGAGAAGAGAGAAACCAGAAAAGAAGGTGAATGCAGACTCTGTATCGCTCTCTTCCCCCTCTCTGTCTTCCTCTGTGTGGGTCTAAAGACATTTTAAACATTGTGATTATCTGTCCCACAGGTGCATGATTGTCTATAATGAGATGACTGAAAATGGGACAGATTTGAAGTTTCCTTGAAGAAGAGTGGGACTGTGGGACCAGCACAATCAGAGCTCTGGAAAGGCAGGTCAGCCCTGCAGGCTTTCTTCTAATCACTCATTCTCATTGACCTTACTAGAACAGAAATGTGCACACCTAATGCTTGTTCTTTTGAAAGGCAATTTTCAGATGTAAATATATTATATTACTTCATCCCAGGGTTATTATAGTTACAGTTGAAACTAAAAATAAAACCATAAAAAAAATTGTCACTTGAAATAAAATAAATGTTAACTGAAATAAAAAACAAGTTAAAAACTGGCCAAGGCAACATTTCTCATTTGCGTTTAATTTAGCTTTAGTACTAAAATAACAAACTAAAATAACAATTTCTATATGACATAAACACACAACAAAATTACTTAAACTTTAACCAAAATGAAAAACAACTGAAAGTATTTCAGTGATACTAAAATAACACTGGATCCAGCAGATTCACATTTATCAATACTCTTACTGACCATGCTGAGTCTTGGCAAGCACTGATATCTGAATAAGAGCTCTATGTGGTACAACTACAGGCAATATATAATTTTATACGAATATAAGATTTTTTTTAATGTTAAGTCTTTTGTGCTCGCCAAAGCTGCATTTATTAGGTCAAAAATACAGTAATATATTGTCAAATTTAAAATAACTTTTCTATTTTAATGTTTTAAAATGTAATGTATTCCTTTGATGGCAAACCTGAATTTTCAGCAGTCATTACTCCAGTCACATGATCCTTCAGAAATCATTCAAATATACTATGCTACATTTTTTGATGAAAACCTTAAATGTTCAGAAGAACAGCATTTATTTGAAAGTCACTTTTGATTAATTTTATGCATCCATGATGAATAAAAAGCAGAGGTGGACAGTAACGAAGTAAATTTACTTGAGTATTGTACTTAAGTACACTTTTTGAGTATCTGTACTTTACTTGAGTATTATTTTTTCTGGAAACTTGCTACTTCAACTTCACTACATTTGAAAGACAAATATCGTACTTTTTACTCCGCTACAGTTATATCAAGGTCCCCAAGTAGAAAGTCGTTATATGTATCAGTTTTTCCAGTGTGTGCATTTTCAGATTAATTGAACCCTTTTTTCTGCGAAAATCCAGTTTGCGATCTGCCAGGACCTTCCAGTGTTGCCAAGTCTTATAGTATTACTAAGCGTGCAGTTTTCCGGCTAGCTTTGAATGCATATTTGGCTGATTTTTTTACGCAAATCTGGCAACCTCGGGACAGTGTGTGTGTGTGTATATATATATATATATATATATATATATATATATATATATATGATTTTTCATTGGAACAGCAAAGTATTAACATAATTCTTATGTGCATATATGCATGCATGTAAATGTACATGATAAACAGTTGAAACAAATGGATAAGAAGATGTACTGTGGAAGAGGCCAGTCCTCCCACTAGAAAGGGCACTCATCATATTGAAGAAGTTGATCAAGAAATAGGAAAAATTCTCAAAATTAAATCTAAATGCATTAGACAGAAAAAAACTACTTGACTCTTTCAGCCTCAAAAAGATTTAAGAATCACCATTAACAGTGTCATTTACATCTCCAAGCCTCATCTTAATCTGATAAAAGCACTCGCAGCGGTTCTTACAAATTAAGACTGACATTTAACTGCAAGTTGGAGTCTTTGCCAAATTAGTCTGGGTTTATTAAAACCCCCTGAGATTATTTTAATAGATTTTGTTTCAGTTCTGCAGAAGAGGCTTGAAAAGGCTGTTCTTGCGAAACAGCCACGGGTATGTAATACCAGTAGTTAAACACTTAGGACCAGGGGCCTCTGTGTGGTTTCCTCCCACACAGCAGAATGTGATAGAGTGTGTGCTCTACGTGTGCTTCAAGAGTACATACTGTTCAAGAAGGCCACTTTAATGTTTATGTAGTGTGATGCACATGACAGATTTGTAAATATTGCATTGTATGTACTGTATATATTAGATAATACAGAAACTCGCTTATTTCAGCCTACCATCTTCTTACTGACTGATTACTTTTTGCTCAGGGGCTGATAATGTGCAGCTTTAATTGTGCTTTAACTGGCAAGTTTACATGGAAAAACAGATCTTTCA